ACTCTAACCCACGTGGGGCTGCCTTGAGTCAGAGATGACTCAATGGCAGCTAGTGACATGGGCCACCAGCACTGTTCAAACTTCTTTATCAAGGGGGAGAAATGTATTCAAAATCTGGTCCATTTTTATGTCTATTTCACTAGGCTATCCTAAACAATTAAAATGTCTGTTGTAGTGCCATTTTCTCAGTTCAGCTCCCTTGTGGGTAAACATAGGACCGAGAGGATGCTCTGAAGTATTAGTGGATGGGAAAGAACAACCCCAGACCACCCCACTGCCATAGGGTCAGTTCCGACTCATAGCAACCTTCTATTGGCTTTTCGTGACTATACATCTTTACGGAAGCAGGCAGTCTCATCTTTCTCCCAAGGAGCAGCTGGTGGGTTTGAACCTCTGACTTTGCAGTCTAACACCGTACTCATAATACCACTAGGGCTTCTTAGGGGAGGAATATTCAATAGTAACACCAACCTCTCCACTCATTTTCAAGTGTGTTTGCAAAATGTCAGTGTGGTCAGTGGAAGCCAATGTGGGACTGCAGTAGTACAGTAGTTGATTGTTCTTCATGGGACCCTGTGCCCTCCCACCTACCTCCCCAAAAACCAGTTCCACCTCTCACACAAGAAAAGTTTATTGAAAAATAAAGTTCTCCCTATTTTCTCTACAACAGTGGAAAACAAAGCAGTGTTCTCTATGCCAGTACAGTACATTTGGACAGCAATACCGTATTTGCAGAATCCTGCACTACCTAACCCCAGAGGTGAACACTAGGACGTGGTGGTACCCAGGAGTTGTTTGCAGACAGATGAGAATGGCCAGCAGACCAAGAGACAGCAGGGTTGTGACAGAAGGCAACTGCGTCCTCTTTTGGCATGATGGTGAAGCTTCTGTCTTAATAATATTGGGGTGGGACGGTGAGAGAGCATTCCCAAGTTCACTCCATCTCTGCTCGGGAGGAGGTACTGCACTGAGTTTTCCAACCTGCTGTCCCCATCACCCTCCAGCACCCCGAATGCTCTGAGTACCCACCCTCATCCTTCTCTCTCTCTCTCTCTCTCTCACACACACACACGCACCTCTCTCTCTCTCTCTCTCTCTCTCTCTCTCTCACACACACACACACACACACACGCACCTCTCTCTCTCTCTCTCTCTCTCACACACACACACACACACACACACACACTTCCCCATTTGTCATTATTTCCTTTTGCTGAGCCTTACCAGTTACAGTGGTGGGGCTGGGGGAGGATGGACATAGTGTTAAGATGCCACAAATTCGGGGGGTAACGGAGTGGTGCACTGAAGGTCAATTCTAACCTTACATCCATAAAACTCTATGTTCAGTGGAAAGAAATTCAAAGGAATCTGACGACGACACTGGATTCCAGCAACGCTCCCCATTACTCCACAACAAAAATCAGGATCCACAGTCCTAAAGCTAGGACACGAGATAAAACTTCAAATTTGACAAGGAAGTAAGAGGCCAAATCCCTACACAACGAATAAAGGTAAATGGTAATAAGGGATTTAGGAAACACTGTTGATAAAAGTATCTTTGGGAGTGGTTCTGAAGAGGCCAGTGGACCCCTCACCTCCCCTCAGGACAGCGCCGCCCTAGTGGTTGTGCACAGGCTTAGCACAGCCTAGGCTGGCTGAGCTGGACTGGGGCCCGCTGGGTCCCTTCTGGGCTGGGGCCATAGAACTCACCTTTAATTTGATGGAAACACGTGAGAGCTAACCAACCTGGGAGTATGATCCCTGTGGGCAGAGGAGGCCAAAGGGACTTCCTGGGAAATGAGCAAGTTCCATGGGGCATTCCTGTAATTATTTTCCCCATAAATAACAGAAAACCTCCACCTAGTGCATTTCAGAGGGCTATGATTTAAGGGATTCAATCTGCCAGATAACTCATTGTAATTTCTGGATTAAAACACTCCTCCAAGAAAATCCTTTGAATGGCCCAGGAGACATGAATGTGGAGGGTCAAATCCAGGTGTGTGGCCAAAGGTCACCTACACCCTTTACATCTCCAGTTTATAAACCTTGCTCCATTGGGGCTAAATCATGGCCTACTTTAAAATCACTTAGTGAATTTAGGGGTATAGAAAAACTTTAACCAGCAGGATGGAAATGGAATAAAACGTGGACATTCTAGACTGGTAACTCCTATAACATTTGATCCATTTAGAAGAAACATTTTCATGTAGGTATGATGTGTGAACCAATGTCTAGGGAGTGAGGTTAGCTCTTTCTCATATGTCAACCGACGCTAATAAGAACAAGAGCCAACATTTACTAGAGTGCACTGTGCTAAACAGGTATCCTCACAAAACCCTAAGTGCTAAGAAAGCTTGGGTGAATCTTTTTTTATTTTCTCTGCATCAAATTATGTAGCTAATTTGGCCTTTTGCTAGAAAAACGGAGTTTTTTTCCACTTTCTGTTGAAGTCAACAAGAATGAAACGAGCTTACCCTCGGCTTCAGGAAATTCCTACCATCCTGAGTAGGAATCATTTTTTGTTCATGCCTCTCTACTCAAAACAAGATGCTCAGCAGCCTCATTCAGGATAGATGGGATTTGAATGAAGCCAAATTGGAAATTAAAATTATTTTAAATAAATAAAACAATCCAGGCTTGGGACAGTAACACATACAACAGAGCCTGTCGTTTACAAAATAGACTTTTTCTTTAAATCAAGAATTTCTGAGTATGGAGGAGAGAGAGGGAGTCTCCCAATTATATATATGTATGTATGTACATACAATCTAGGCAAACCACCTCAGAGAATGGGGTGGCTTGCCTTGGTCTAGTTCAAAAGCAACCACACCCGCCTATAAATGACACACAATTCCAATCCAACCAGAAGCACTACATCTTCCATGCCAGTGTAGTGTGTCCTTTGGGGGCTCTTCTCCCTAAGGGGAGAATTGAACTAACTATCCTCTTTCAATTAAGCCCTGCATTCATTAAGGAAACAAAAATGAGGGGCCATGCTCATTCCTTTTATAAAGTGTTTCTGGGGTATTGCTTCAGATGAGATTATTGGAGCCATATCCCCTTTCTCTGCCCCCTAATGCCACCTGAAGGTTGATGTGCTGCCCTGGTCACTCAGTACTGCCTGGGCAGCAGGGAGCACAGCTCCATCAGCACAATTGCAGGTAGCCAACCCAAGAAAAGAGACCTGGTGTGGCACTGTGGATTAATGCGCTGGACCCCGAGGTCAGCTGGAACTGCAAGATCGGTAGTTCAAATTCACCAGCCACCTCTTGGAAACCTTATGAGTGTCAGAACCAACTTAATGGTGCGTAAACAACAAATATCACAAGACAGAGCCCAGCAGACCCGGTGGGCATGCGCTGGGCTGGTGGAATCTGGGCATCTGTGTCTGTGCCTATGCTTGGGTTCCGTGGCCTGCTGGGGCTGGAGGGAATTTCTGGCGGCTCTAACCCTGAAATAGGCCCTGTCCCCAAGCTGGAGATGGCCATAGTCTTTAAACAGCACCCAACTTCCTAAAGTCAACCCCAAAGAAAAGTGAAAAGGCACATCAGAGAGACAATAAATATCACCGAAGAAACAGACTCTAACATTTCTAAACACGCAGCTTCCACAAAAGAACAAGTTATCACAAGCATCGACAAAAAAACCACGTAAATCTAAGTAAAACTGCAGAGCGTCTCCATTTGTACATGTGCAAATCAAATCGCATACACAAACGAAGTGAGGTGTTCACTGGCGTCAAAGAAGTGTGTTTCTCCTCTTTACCTTTCCAAGGAAAGCTTTCTCTTTTAATAAATTAGATAAATGATTTTCCTCAAGAAGATTTTTAAAGAACTTAGCATCACAAACAGGAAAAACAAAACAAAACCTCCAACACTTAGAAGACCAGGAAAGATATGCGTATAGTCTAGGAAAACATTGATCACAACTGAAGACTTGTCTCCCAAGGAGTTGTCATCAATTACAAATCAGTCTACGTTTCTACTAAGATGGTCACCAGGAACATTGCCAAAGGCTCTGTGCTCACATGATCAGGGGTCTTTGCTTGGCACACCTAACAGCCATGTCTTTTTCTAGACCTTACTCAAGCCAAGTGTGAGGTGGTCCCGGAGCCAGCATTTATTCCAGTATCACAACTCTATTGATAATGCCCTTGACAACCGGAGTGTGAGTTGGTTTACCCCAAGAGCAACAGCCCCATTCAGACCTCCTGCTTACCTGACACCAGAGATGGAGGAAGGAAGGAGGAGGATTCTCTTATTGGGGAAGGTATACTACGGGGCTGCCTGACCCTGTGATCCTGATTTGGAGAAGAGAATAGGAGAGCTGAGGGGTTAAGATGGCCCAATAGTCCCTAAACTCAGGGACACACAATGCCCTGGAGTGTTTGGCTTTGTTTTAAAAGCAACATGTGCTTTGAGGAGTGAGGTTCCCAGGAGCAAGCATGCCACCAGCTCCCTAGCTTACTCTTTGCCTCCTTCCCTTCCACACCCTGTCCACAGCAGACAGGGACAACATCAGGAAGAATGCAGATGCTGAGGGTGGGAAATCAAAGAAAAAGCAACATGTGTGAATCTGTCCCTCTCCTCCCTCCCGGATTGTCCCCCTCCCTCCCACCCAAATAAATAAATTAATGGGTTAGGACTTTTCCCCTACAAAGTTCTTTCCAATCAGTTCAATTCTTCCTCTTTTTTTTTTGTTTTTTTTGTTTTTTTCTCCTTTTTTCCTTTCCCAAATGAATCTTGAGACTTTCTTTTTACCCTGGAGCAGCTACGTTGACAAAGTCTCTCCGCAGTTGTTCCTCAAAAAAAATAACGACCCAGCTGTGGCCAGGGAGAGGCCAGGCTCCGGGCCTGACGTCCACTCCGTCTTGTTTCTGTGATGACTCCTCTGCTGCAGTGGTCTGACTGCAGTAGGAGCTGAGCTTGACGGAGACCTTCCCGCCCAACAGGTGAGGGCTGGCCAATGTCCCTGAAGGCCATCTGTTCTCCTCTGCAGCATGGCCGCTATAGACAGTCCTTGCAGAGGGCTACCTGGCCCTTGAGGAAGTCCCGGCACGGGCAGATCCTCTGGTGCCTGGGGTGGGCGCCTGCACAGCTGAAAAGCAGCAGGTCCCCTTGAAACACACAGTGCTTGTTCTTGGGGTCAAAGGAGGGCACCAGGATATCCTTGGCCAGCTCGGAGCTTTGGCAGATCACCTCATACCTAGAGAAGAAGAGAAAGGCACGTAGGCTGGAGATACCGTCTTCGTCATTGGCACCTTTACCCACCTCCTGGGTCCCCTGCTGTAGAAATCCTCAGACCCAGCAAATGCCCACCTCTAGGAACTTGGTCTAAGCTTCATCTCTCATACTTTGGACATACTGTCCGGAGGAAACAGTCGCTGGAGAAGGATGTCATGCTGGGTAAGGTGGAGGGTCAGAGAAAAAGAGGAAGACCCCTAACGAGATGGATTGGCCAGGTGGCATCATTGATGGACTCAAGTGTGGCAGCGGTAGTGAGGTTGGCCCAGGATCGGACATTGTTTCGTTCTGCTGTGCATGGGGTGGCTATGAGTCGGTTCCGACTCGATGGCACCTGACAACAACAACAAAAGGAACTTGGTCTACAGAAGGTATACGTGTCCAGGGGTGTGTGCCAGAGCATATGCCCGAGGCTGTGCAGCGAGTGAGGCGCTGTCTGCAATGTTGAGAAACAGGAAACAGGCTGGATACTGAGCAGGGGAGGAAAGGGCAGTAAATCAGGACCATCTGTGCTTTGGGAGTTCTATGCAGTCACAGGAAAAGAAAGAAAGCACACACCAGCAGGGAGAGATACCCCAGAGGAGGGCAAGCGATAGCACAGGAAGCACACAGTGAGCCACTTGTGTGTGCATGCATGTGTGTCTGTGCGTGAGTGCATAGTGTAAGGGTGTGCATGTGTGTGAATGTGTGGGTGTGTGTGCTCACATGTGCCTGGGTCTCTATGTGTTTGAATGTGCGTGCACGTCTGTGTGTGCGGAGTTGAGAAGGCTGCACACTAAGGTGTCTGAAACTTGAGACTGGGGCAAAGGTATATTATTGAAGTATTTGGAAACTTGTTTGACTTTTTTTCTGATTAGCATTGAAGGACTGCTGGTACTTGTTCTTACTCTCCCCTGGGAGGTTCTCAGGCTGTGTCCAGAGCATGGGCTGAGTGGGCCTGAGCAGCCGCCCTTTGGCCAGGGCAATACTCCCCCGAGCTTTGCATGCTCAGGATGATGGATGTGCAGAGCAAGAGTATGAGTCCAGGCCCCTAGGACGCCGAGCCCCTAACGCTCCTCTACCATCTTCTCTCCTAGTGGACCTGTCGGTGGGCTGGAGGCCTTCGATTTTGCTTTATCACGCAGAGAGCACTGCTTGAGAGTGCAGTTATTCCAGGGGGTCCTGCTCGTAATAGTGCCAGCCTCTTATCTCAAATCCCAGAGCCACTGAGTTAGTCCCACCCAGCTTGGTTCCTGCCAGACAGGGAGGCCTCACCCCATGTCACACAAGGATGCCAGGTAGAAGCAGGGCTGTACCTGAGTAGGGGTCAGGCAAGACCCTAGGTAAGTGACTCTCTCTGTGACTCAGTTTCTTCTTCTGTAAAATGGAGATACATAATCCTTAACTCATGGCAGATTTAAATTAGAGTACTTGGCAGAGTCTAACTCTGGGTAGGTATTGAATAAATGTGAGCTCTTATTATTATTTTTATTGTAATAAGTTATAATTATAAAATCAAGTCAAACTCACTACTTTTGAGCTGATTTGAATACATACAACCCTGTAGGACAATGGAAAACTTCTCCATAGGGTTTCTCAGATCGCAAATCTTTATGAGAGCAGACAGCCTCATATTGCTTCTAAGGAGTGGCTGGTGGCTTTCATCCACCGACCTTGAAGTTAGCAGCTCAACACCTAACTGATAGGCTGTCACGGTTCCTTCACATATAGCTAGTAGCTATCATATTGATTTGGGACATATTATCAGGAGGGAACAGCCCCTGCCTGGAGAAGGGTATCATGTTTGGTAAAGTGGAGGGTCAGAGGTAAAGAAAACCCCCAATGAGATGGATTGGCACAGTGGTGACAGTGATGGGCTCAGGTGTGGCAATGATTGTGAGGCTGGCCCAGGACCAGGCAGTGCTTCATTCTGTTGTGCACAGGGTCACTATGAGTTGGTGTCTATTCTATGGCACCTAACAACCACCACCACCACCACATCAAACAGGCATTAAGAAAGCATTGGGGTACCACTAAGAAACTTACTGCAATATTACTAAACTAGTACTAACTTTGCAGCTTATCAGATATATACGGACTGGATTGTACGTTCAAAATATTCACTCATCTAGGTGTGACACTGAAGGATAAGCATTGGACAGCAAAGTCAGTTTGAACAGCAAGGTCGGTGGTTCAAACTTACCAGCTGCTCCTCGGAAATCCTATACAGGGTCGCTATGAGTTGGAACCGACTTGACGGCACTTAACAAGAAGTAGCAATTACTAGGGTCACGTGTAGAATAAATTTTAATAGGAAGATACAAGATCTTGAACTTTTGAAATATAGATAAAATGTTTTTCACACCTCCACCCACTGCCATTGCCATCAGGTCGGTTGTGACTCATAGCCCCCCTGCTGGAGAGGGTTTTCTAGGCTACATCTTTACGGGTTCTTCGTTCTCCTTCTTACTGGCTAGTGGATTTGAACCTCTGACCTTGAGATTAGAAGCCTAATGTTTAGCTCACTATGCCACCAGGGCTCCTAGAATAACATTTACCATTACAAACTATAGTGATACTAGTAATAATAGCCACCTAACGACAATCACCACTCTCCTCCCATGCCCTACTGTGTGCATTTACACACACACACACACACACACACACACACACACACACACACACACACACACACGTCACTATTTCCCTTTTGCTTTTCTAAGGGAAGCCTTGCCTCTTACTAACAGGATGAGGATCAGGATGTGGCCACTAGACTTCCTGTTAGCCTCTGGAAAGCTTCCAGATGGCTGGGCTGGAGGAAGCATCACTCTCCCACATTCATGTGAATGTGGTGATTTCCAGTGATACTGTCAGCCCTGCTCCTCCTGCTTAGTCAGAGCTGAGGCTCCCACTTCTCTGGGAGCTCAGGATACCACCAACTCGCCCACTCCCTGGCTGCAAGTCCAGTCTCTTCTTTTCTCATTCCAGAGGCCTGCCTCTGGCCTGGCTGTGGCTTCCCCAGATGTCCTAACAACTCTGGTCTTGGCATGTGAGGTGGGGAATGATGGGACAGAAAAGACTAAGCCTTGAGCCATGAAGCCTGGGGCGGGAAGTGGATTTTATAGGTTTCTTAGAAGGAAAAATGAGTCAGAGATTTGGGCAATTGGGTAGTCTACAGAATGCCCCCACCTGGAGAGAAAGGGGTTTAGAGAAATCAGCTCTGACTGAAAGTCTCAGCATACAGATTTACACTGCAAACCAAAATCAAACTTACTGCCACCTAGTCGCTTCCTACTCATAGTGACCTGCTAATGGAGTTCCGAGGCTGTAAATCTTTAGGGAGCAGAAAGCATCATCTCTCTCCAGTGGTTTGAACTGCCGAGCTTGTGGTTAGCAATGCAGTGCTTATAGCACCACCAGGTGTCTTTATACAAAGACTCTGTATTTGTTAAAGGTGAACTGTAGCAGCTGATTTATCTTAACTCGAGTCATCTGCTTGGCACACTGCTAAGCAGGCGTGTGGAATGTTATTAGGTCCCATGGCCCAATACCAGTTGCTCGTCAGTCAATTCTGGCTTATGACGACCCCCCGATTGTACAGTAGAACTGCCCCATACAGTTTTCCTCACCGTGACCTTTCAGAAGCATAGCACTAGGCGTGTCTTCTGAGGCAAGTTTGGGTGGGTGTGAACCACCAAGCTTTTGATTAGCAGCTGAATGCTTTAACCTGGTGTACCACTCAGTGTGTTCCAGATCACATGAAAAGATGTCATTAAAAACCCCAACAACCACCTTCCCAAGGAACTCTGGTGGTGCAGTTAAAGGTGCTCTGTGAAAGGTTGGCAGTTCAAACACCCCAGCCACTCTGTGGGAGAAAGATGTGGCAGTTGGCTTCTTGAATAATTACGTAGGGACCCCTGACATGAGACAGTGGCTAAGCTAAGGTCCAGCACGAAAACTCCACTGAGTTAAGAGGAACCTCTGCTCAGTGATGTGGCCTGTCATTGCTGTAAAACTCCACTGTACCCTTGGTAACAATTCCAGAGAACTGTGCGATTTTGCTCAGTTAAGAGCTTTGCTTGCTGTTTAGGAAGTCAGGCCCCAAACCAATTCTTAGATCAGTTACCTACTCAAAATAACATTTAATTATGTGTGTTGTCCCTGCAGTCACATAAAGTCGGCCTCATCATTGGTTTGAGGCCAGATATACCCAATTTAATTACTTTGTAATTAAAAAAAAATTAAGAAACATATGCAATGTCAACATGGATGACAGGGCAGGGAACATACAAGATGGAGGAGGAACGATGAAGGTAGCAGAAGCCACAGGGGAATGTAATCTTACAGTGGTGGTGGTATGCCGTGGAGTCGGTTCTGACTCATAATGACCCTGTATAGGGTTTCCGAGGCTGTACGTCTTTACTGGAGCAGAAAGCCTCATCTATTTCCCGGAATGGCTGGGATTTTCGAACTGCTGACTTCGTGAGCAACCCAAATTGTAAACACTATGCTATTACAGTGACTAGAGGCAAACACTGCTAACTGTTGGTACGTGGAAGGGATTGCAATCATTGGAATGAAGCAAAACATATGATTTGTTGTATGTAAAACTGATGATCTGCTCTGTAAACCTTCACTCAATTCACAATAAAGAGTTGGAAAAAAAGAATGTAAGTAATCTCTTACCAATCAGATGTACCCTCATTCAGTTTTGCAACCATCTGCTCCAGTAAAGATTTACAGCCTCAGAAACCCTATACAGGGTCACTTTCAGTCAAACCTGACTCGATGGTAGTTAACCCTGGATAGGGTTTTCAAGGAGTGGCTGGTGAATTTGAACCGTCAACCTTGTGGTTAGCAGTCCAGTGCTTATTCTACAGTGCCACACCAGAACTTCATTTTTTTATATAAACTCCTTGAATTGTTTCCTTCTTGAATTACTTAGTTCAGAATCCTCTGGACTCTGAGTCCCAATTTTCAAATTGCTTTGCCTTTCAATAATTTTAATTTCAATTACACTCTACTCTTTTTGCTTTGACAATGGGTGCAGACTGACAGCCTTGGAAACTCTATGGGGGGAGTTCTACTCTGTCCTAAGGGGCCACTATGAGTCAGAATTGACTCAACAATAGTGGATGTGGCTTGGGGCACTCTTTCCCCCTCCGGGGCTGCATACATAGGTGTGTGCAGATCTGTGAGTGTTGACACAGATGAAGCTCATCCAGAGACGCTGGACAAAGACCACCAGAGACAGTGGCTCTGGGAGCTGCTGCCTCTTGGAATGATGGGTAAGAGCTACCACATAGCAGTTCCCCCGAGGTCTGGGTGACATGGGGCTGTCAGTACAGCCAGTAGGCCCTCCAGTCCCAGGGCTGAGCACCTTCCAGGCCGCTGGGGAGCTCCCCCTTCTAATGCCAGTACCTGTTACATAGCCAGTCATTGTCTTTGCTTACCCAATGTGGAAACCCTTTCAGAGGAGTGAGGGGACTCTCTCCAGGCCCTACAGCCCACAGGAACCAAATGGCCTCCTTATCCCAGGAATCTTCACTCCCCACAGGAAGTTCTGCCTTTTTTAGACATATACATCCCAGTTTCTAACTCTCCTTCCATCTAGTCTGTCTGTCTGTCACTGGTTTATCTTAGACTCTACTTCACTGCTGACGTCTCCAGCAGGCCTTATGTAGCAAGACATCTTGTGGCAGTTTTATGAGCATTTGTCCAGATACAATTTAGAGAACACATTTGTTTAAAAAGAAATTCCAACCTCTATAATAGTATCGATTCATTTTGCACTTCACTAGATTAAAAAAAAAAAATCCTTATAACCTAGCACTGCTGTAGTACTGAATTCAGCATTTTCTGATGTTTTTTGAAAAAAATAGTTGAATCCTTCACTTGACTAGTTTTCCAAAGAATGAAGTGGTTTCCCTGCTAAACAACTTTCAGTACAATGTGCACGTTGAGGCTTCTGGTGCCCACCAATCTCAGCTCTTAAAAAATAACAAAAGGACATCTGTTTTCCTGTGGGGCTGCTCACTGTCACCCCTGCAGTTCCAGGGGCTGGGCTGGGGAGTTCAGACCCCACAGGAGCAACTGAAGCCACCCACTTCTATCCTACACCCCACTTCCGTATGGTGGGAAGGAGGTAGGGCTGTGCCAACTTAGGGCCCTGCTTCTCATGCTTTCCCACCCCTGGAGTTTCTTCTCCCTTCATCCTTTTCTAGTCTAGTCCTGCGTCCACCAACCTCACCTTGGCTGGTCACTTAACCCAGGCTTCGTCATGACCAACCACTCTGTTCTCACTCATACTCTACACCTTACAGTTGAGAGAGTCCTGTCTTTAAAAGGAAACTCCCCAAACTCAGAAGCTACATCTGGGCAATGCAGCAAATTTAAAACCTGGAGTTCACATAACCATGTGCTCCTATCAAGCTGGGCGTGTCATGCTCAAGTGAACATTGGCATGTCCCGTGGCCCTCTGCCTTCTGGTCAAGGTGGAACTTTGACACATAGCACTGGTAAGCCCCAAATGAGTACGCTTTGTGGCCAGGGGCTGTGGTGTGCTCCATGGCATGGGTGCCCATCAGCTTCTATTGATTCAAGAAGACAACCCAGGATGCTTTCCAATTCAGACTCTACAGTGAGAACAGAACTTCTGAAAGAGCTTAAGCTTGACTCAGACTCAGGCCCCAAATCAGGGAAGAAAGAGAAGTGCTGGCTTGTAGCAACTGCTCAATGCTAATTGGCCATGAATATGGATAGGCCAGGATTACCTCCATGCTGAGGAGGTGCTCAATAGATGGCCAGACACCTTCAGTATTTACAAATGCATGAACAAGTTATTCAGTAGGGCTCTTGTGCTCAGCGAATTCATTTCAGGAGGCTTTATTGCAAACTTGGCATTCATTCCAGCATCCTTGTAGGAAAACACATATATCTACAAAGGGAGAGGGGTAGGAGTCATGAACAATCGCAGCCACAGGGGCCAGCAGGCAGGACAGCCTCACTCCAAACTCTTCTCCAACTTCCTCGGAAATCTCTGCGTGGTATCTATCTCTCTCCCATTTGTGCCTGCTTTTCTGTGCTTAACCTGCCTTTTTAATATCTATAAGGTGGATAGGTTTAGGACATAACTACGCTGATGTGACCTCATGAATAACAAGGAAAATCATATTGCCAAAAGGGATTCCAAGCCACAGATCTAAAAATTAGGATTCCAGCAAATATCCCAGGAGTCTGTCCGTGCCTGTAGCTCTCAGCCTACCTTGACTCACGCAGTCCTTGAGTGTAATATTAGTCAACTCAGTACCCTCCTTAGGATCTCCAAGCCCAGACAAGGCAATATTCCTGCAAATAAGCCCCTGACTCCCCTTCTAATGCTGAACTATATCATCATGCCAGAGGACCTCATCCTACCTGACAACACAACTCTGGACTAACTCCTCAGGGAGAAATCATGCAGGCCAAGACTGGAAAAGGATGAAGGGAGAAGAAACTCCAGGGGTGGGCAAGCATGAGAAGCAGGGCCCCGAGTTGGCACAGCCCTACCTCCTTTCCCACCACACAGAAGTGGGGTATAGGATAGAAGTGGGCGACTTTAGTCGCTCACTTTCAGTAGAGTTGGATTCTGCACACACCCAGCAGGCCATCCCACCTTGAGGGCACTTACTTCAGCATATCCTTGTCTTTGTTGAGGTGCTGGAAAAAGGACGGCTCACAGATGAGCTGGCTCTGCTGACACACCTGCTTGCAGGACTTCCCAGGTTCAGCAAACTTGACCTGTAGGGCACTGAGAGGTGGCCACATCACCTGTCCATGGCAGAAGTCCTAAAATGACAACAAAGCCATCAACCAAGGAACTAAGGATGCACCTGGAGGATCCCCTGTCCCTTCAGCCAAGCAAATCTGATAATGAGGGAAGGCACTGTGAGGGAGCTGTGCAGAGGAAGAGCAAGGTCAGACAGGACTGGAATGGAATCCAGGCTCACCTAGAACATCCCCTGGGGCTACTTCTTGACCTTTCTAACATCAGTTTTGTCAACTACTAAATTGGGCCTTTAGGATCTCCCACACTGGTCTCTTGGATGAGAGAGAATGTGTATGCCTGCCAGTAAATACCATCATCATCAACAATAAAACACAGCTGTCAGAGAGAAGGTCCTGAATTATGGTGACCCCCTGTGTGACAGAGTCAAATTGGCTCGATAGGGCTTTCTAGGACTGTGACTAATTGGAAACAGATCGTCAAGTCTTTCTTCCAAGGTATCTCTGGGCTGACTAAAACCTTTAACCCTTTGGTTAGCCGAGTGCTTAACTATTTGCACCACCCAGCAATTGTTGTGAATGCCAGTAAAGGATGACTATTCATTATCATTATCATCATAAAAAATGATACAGCCTAGCTATTTAAAGCCCCTGGACCTCGAAGGTCCATCTCCAGGCCCACTTTGACCAGCTGTCTGGATTCCCTCCTAGTTCAGTGCCTACCTCCGTTGACTGTTACCTAATGTGACAGTGCTAGTTTTTTCTCCATGGCGGAGCACTGACTCTGTGAGTCATCTCCAGCATAAGAGAACCTGACATGGTGTGAGGTCCTTGGGTAGGGACTCAGCATATGTCGGTTGGTCAAAACTCCTAACATCCCACTAATACAGCAAGTAGAGAAATAGTCTGAGCAACGTTTCAGGACAGCCCCTTGGAAACTCTATACAGGGTCACTATGGTTCGGAACCGATTCGACGGCACTTAACAACAACTGCAAAGAGCTATCGCGTGGCTCAGAATCGGGCCAGGCTAGTCATTCCTTGGACCTAGAGGGAATGGAGTGAACATGTGGGTAGAGAGGGCTGTGGGCCAGGATGGAGAATCAGCCCAGTTAGAAAGAGACGCTGGAAAAAAAAAAAAAAGAAGAGAAGCTGGACATGGAGAAGAAAGGGGGAGTGGGGGCTGGGCAGAAGGCAGGTGAGCAGAGAGAAACTCCTTCTCTGGCCTGGGACCCCTGTTTTACTTCAGCTGTACCCCAAGCATCCCTGAGCAAGTACCAGGGATGAGAACTCATGTACCACTGAACACCAGAGTTGGCTCTGCCTGTGCCTTTGTCAAGGGGATCCCAGAAACCCCTCAGCATCCCTGGGCTACGGGACCTGCAGAGGAGGCTGCGTGCCATTACTGTGGGATAGGGGACTTTCAGGAGCGCCCCTGGGTTGTTTCAGGTTACTGAATTCCACTTTTAAGAATCCATCTAAGACATACAGGGGCATGTGCAGAGAAACACACAGAAGGATATTCAGGGAAGCATTGTCTTGGGAAAAGGAGCTCTGGTAGCACAGTGGTTACAAGTCAGGTTGCTAACCTCAAGGTCAACAGTTTGAAACTACAAGCCATTATGAATGAGAAAGATGAGGTTTTCTGCTGGTGTCGCTATGAGTAGGAACCATCATCACCACCACCATTGTCTCAGGAAGTAAAGGGACTGAAATAACCTGAAGCTCTGTCCACAGGGACTCGACTACTTGAGTCTGAGCAAGTTGGAGAGTTAAAAAAATAGGAACTCTTCATGGCTAGAACATGGATAAGCTGAAAGCAGAAGATTCTAGCAGGATGATAAAAATATGTGGGCTTATTCAGGGTTATCAGAATCTGGCTTAATCTTCTGAGAGTGACCCAGGGTGGAAGGGCAAGCAGACTGTTCCACCACAAGGGGCAGAGATAGGAAGACTCTTATCTGACTCCATATACGTCTGTGATAAGTCACCGGTAGGAGGTTAGTTTGCTCTGGAAGAGAGTGTCCACTGGTGATATCACTCTCGTACATATGCACATTTCCTGGCCGGCCTTGGATACTCTGCCCACTCCATCAGGACAGTTGTCACCAAGTAGGAAAAATGAAAACACACAGTGGTCCATGCTGACCAGAGTTGAGCAGGTGCGTGGTCATCTGGAAAAGGTGAAGTGTTGTTTCTTTATGCTGGATGGCTAATGCAAGCAACTTCGCTTTTAATCCTTTAGGAGCAATCTATGAACAAATAATTGGCTTTAAATTTATAATAGATTTTAAATGCAGTGTATACCAAAGTCTACCATGTGATTCCACGGAACAGGTAAATAACCAGGAAATCTGGATCCAATTATGTCATCGTATCACCAGAAGCTGAGTGACAACTTCTCTCTGCTGCCTGGACTTGTTAGGTGACCTCCATTTAGTTCCAACTTATAGCGCCCTTATGTACAACAGCATAAAACACTGCCCGGTTCTCTGCCAGCCTCACACCTGTTGCTATGATTAAGTCTACTGTTGCTGCCAATGTGTCAATCCATCTTGTTGAGGGTCTTCCTCTTTTTCGATGACCCTCCAACTTTACCAAGTATGATATCCTTCTCTAGGTATTGATCCTTCCAGATAATATGTCTTAAGTATGAGAGATGAAGACTCATCATTCTCCCTTCTAAGGAGCACTCTGGCTGTACTTTTTCCAACATAGATTTGTTTTTTCTTCTGGCAGTTTTCTGTACTTACACTACTCGTCTCCAACATCGTAAGTCAAATGCACCAGTTCTTTTACAGTCTTCTTAATTCAATGTCCAACTTTCACGTGCACATGAGACAACTGAAAATACCATGGCTTGGGTCAGGTGCACATCAGTCCTCAAAGTGACATCTTTTCTTTTTAACAATTTAAAGAGTTTGTTTGCAGCAGATGTGCCCAATGCAATATGTCACTTCATTTCTTGACTGCTGTTTCCATGAGTGTTAACTGTAGATGCAAGCATAATGAAATTGTTGACAACTTCAATCTTTTCTCCTTTTATCATGTTACTTTAGTCCAGTTACTAGGATTCTCATTTTCTTTACACTGAGGTGTAATCCATACTGAAGTTTGTACTTTTGGATCTTCATCAGTATTTTAAATGTTTTCACTTCCAGTAAGTAAGGTTCCATCATCTGTATACAGCAGGTTGTTAATGAGTCTTCCTTTCATCCTGATGCCATGTTCTTCTACTTATAGTCCATCTTTTCAGGTTATTTGCTCAGCACACAGATGCATAAAAATGGTAAAAGGTTACAATCCTGTCAGTATCCTTTTGTTCTGTTTGAACAACTGCCTCTTGGTCTATGGCAATCATTCCATCTGCCCAGAGACGCCTTGAAGGAAAGACCACAGTCACAGAAAATTCTACTAGTACAAGAGTTGCCAAGAGAGGGAATTGACTGGACAGCAGCTTTTTAGCCCCTTGTTCCTTCTAAAAAGGAAAACATAGAATGTCTGTCCTTATAGAACACCTACATAGCTGTTAATGCTATCTTGTGAATGATACCTCTGCAGTCTGGGGGACTCTTAAGAAACTCTGTTCTTATTCATTCTCACATAGCCTCAAGTAGTATAGTAAGCAGTGCTTTTGTTGCTGTTGTTGCTGAGTGCTGACAAGTTGTTGTCAACTCTTGAACGACCCTGTGTTATGGATTAGAAGTGCTCCATAGCGTCTTGGTTGTATTCTTTACAGAAACAGATCAGCAGATCACTCTCCTTTAGAGCTGCTGGTTGGCAGCCACGTACTTAACTGTTTGCATCATCAGGGGTCCTTTAGGAAGCAGTACTAGGGATAAAAATGAAGCTAGGAGAGACATTCTGCTTTGTTAGACTAGGAGGTGACATGGTAAAGGAATGCACTTCAGATCCTAAAGACCAGATTCTGAACTTACCTGTCCCATGGGGAGCCTCATTTCAGTCTTGCCTTATCTCTACTGACAGTCTCTTCTACATAGAGTGATAACAGGCTACAAGCATTGAAGCTGAACAGACACTCGACTAACATCAGGTGCTCCATAAATGCTCAATTCCTACTTCTTTCCCTCCTCAGAAGGGATGCCTCAGCCCTGTGCAGCTTTCGGAAGCACTTCATTGGAGGCAACTGGAGAAGCCGGGACAGCTCAGGATCAAAAATGGCACTGACTCCCAAGAACGGCAAGATGGCTCTGCAAGGTCAGGGCAGAGGGCTGACCTGCCTGGTGTATTTATCTCTTAGTGCATAAAAGCAATCACTCGTTTCATGGTTACTTTCAACCCAGAATGTTTAGCTTAGTTCAGTTGTACACAATGTCACCCTTGTTCAGGGGACTGACTTGGTTCCCTCTCAGGAATCTGCATGCTTTTGGTGAGTTGGATCAGGCAGTGTAAAAACATCACTGGGATCATCTTATAGCCTGGTGAGCCATCAGGAAAGCCTGAAGGAGATAAAAAGTGAACAGAGAGCAGCCTCCCAATTCTTGGCCCATATTTTCTAGGACGGTCAGAAGGTGCCATCAATGTGCATAGCATGAGATATGGTGTGAGGATCTCGGCTAAGGTTCTGGTTCCCAGACATTTGCTAAAACTCAGTCTAGGAAGTAAAGGAGCCACTCAAACATCTGGAAAGAACATTCCAGGCAGAGGGGACAACTGAGATCTGATAAGAGTTGTACTAGCATGTTCTTGGAGGAGCAGGAAGTTCTGTGTAGTTGTAGCAGAGTGAGTGTGTGAGGGTGGGAATAGGCAGAGCGCTCAGGCAGCTTACAGGAGTCAAGGCACGTAAGGGTCTTTCAACATATAAGCTTTGGCTTATATCTGGAGTCAGATGGGCATCTCTGGTAGAAGAACAACAGAGTCAGCTGTGTTGAGAACAGATGACAGGGGCAAAAGCAAAGGCAGAGAAACAGGAAGTTATTGGATCAATCCTGGTGAGAGATGATGGAGACTCAGACCAGACTCAAGCATCCATAAGACACTCCCATTACATGTTGGCTTTGATGGTTTTTCTCACTCATACATTTAAAACTTTCAAGGTAACTA